AATGTTTCTTGAGCACCAGATCAGTATATTAGAATGATTTCTGAAAGATCATGTGACACTGAAGCCTGGTATAACAGCGTAAACTCAGCTTTGCCATCAAAGGAATAAATCACATTTTAAAATATATTAAAATAGTAAACAGTTACTTAAATTTGTAATAATATTTCACAGTTTTACTTTTTGAGACTTCTTTCAAAAACATTAAAAACTGTCCCCAAACTTTTGAATAGTACTTTAAAGGTGTAGTTCACCAAAAAGAAAAAATCTTTCTTTATTTCTTTCTTTAAATGTATCTCTAGACAGCTAATATATCAACGTTAAAAATTATAGCAATGTGTGTGCAATGTATTCTGCATTTATAGTATATTTTTGTCCTTTTTGTAGTTTGACTGTCATGGTCGCTATGAACTGTCTTCGTAAAATGAGCAGGTAAGCCTCCATGAGTGTGAGCCACCACTCCAGAGCGAAAAATAGCTTTCATCCAAATAGCCCGGCACTCAGAGTGATCATGTTATTATAGTGTTAGCAGCAGATGAACCCCTGACCCCACACCCCAATATAGACACACACAAGCAGAAAAACACAAATGCACAGATCAATGAACCCAGGTGGATGAAACATCTATTTCCCAACAGGTCCCTTGAGATGGATGTAAGGCCAAGGGGTCTGTAGAGAGGTTGCCTTCAATATGTGCAGCCCCATATATACTAACCTGTGTGAAAAGAGGCATAAATTGGTATTGACAACAAATCCCTTTTTGTTCAAAGCAGAAGTGATCCATCTTGGAATTACCGGACTTCATAAATATTAATGCTGTGTTCCATTCAATTGAGAAAGCCAGAATTTCTAACTTGGAGACTTTCAAATCGGAAATCACAAAGTGACTGCCAGTATGTGGCGTTTCATAGCAGAGACAGATTTTGATGTTAAAATGCTTTGTTATGCAGGGTTTAAAGGGATAGTTCACCCAAAAATGGGTCACCATTACTCACCCTCATGTTGTTCCAAACCCGTAAGACCTTCGTTCATCTTCAGATCACAAATTTAGATATGTTTGATGAAATTTGAGACCCTCCATAGACAGCAAAGCAACTGACATGTTCAAGACCTAGAAAGGTAGTAAGGACATTGTTAAAATAGTCCATGTGACGTCAGTGGTTCAACCGTAATTTTATGAAACTACGAAAATACTTTTTGTGCACAAAGAAAACAAACATTACGACTTAGTTCAACAATTTCTTCTCTTCCGTGTCAGTCTTTTACCTTTCTGGGCCTTGAACGTGGTAGTTACATTGCTGTCTATGCAGGGTTAGAAAGCTCTCGGATTTCATCAAAAATATCTTAATTTGTGTTCCGAAGATTAACAAAGGTTTTAAGGGTTTGGAACGACATGAGGGTAATTAATGACAGAATTTTAATTTTTGGGTGAACTATCCCTTTAAATACAGTCAAGCAAATTTTTGGAAATCTAGTTACCTTACAAAACTACATTGAATCTATATTTGGCCAGTGTCTTCATAAATGTATTGTATATTAGTATAAATATCAGATTGAATATATATAATTTATTATTATAAATAGAGCAATTAGTGTTTATATTCCAGGTTTGATTCTTCCCAAAGACTCTGATCTTTTGATTCAGTTCATTGAAAGGTCCCAATTTGATTTGTCCCATAATTTGCAAGGGATAATTCACCCAAAAAGGAAAATTCTGTCATCATTTACTCGCTTTCAAATTGTTGCACACTTGTATCAATTTCCTTCAGCTGTTGACAGCACAACACAAAATAAGATCTTTTGAAGAATGTTGGTAACCAAACAGTTGTTGGTAACCGTAACCATTGACTTCCATAGTATGGGAAAAAATACTGTAGAAGTCAATGGCTACCTTCAGCTGTTTGGTTACCAACATTCTTCAAAATATCTTCTTTTGCATTCAACAGAAGAAAGAAACTCGTACAGGTTTGGAACAAGTGGAGGGTGAGTAAATGATGACATTCTTTATTTTTGGGTGAACTATCCCTTTAAAGTGGAGACACCCTATATTTTACAAAACATAGTAATGCACAGCAGCATTTAACATAATATTTTACAATATAAAGATATAAAATGAATCATTTGCATGTCAATATAAACTGATTCACTGAAATGACTCCTACACCCTTATGTACAGTATGAGAATAGTCTAGGAGAGTATGTTTGATTATTGGTTCAGCTCACTTGACTGTAAAGCTGTGTTTACAATACAGTCTTGACATTAACAATAGCCATATATTTTGAGATACCCATTCTTATTGGAAGAAGTAGCATTTTGTTACATTTTGAAAAGAGCTACTGAGAAATGTCCAAACCTGCATTCATTTCTTTCTTCTGTGGAACGCAAAATAAGACTTTGTGAAAAATGACTTTGAAAAGTGATTTTTGTCTATACGGAACAATATAAGTCAGTGGGGTCCGATGTTGTTTGGGCTCCAACTTTCTTCAGAATATATTTCTTCTTTCCACGCTGCCATAGAGGAATGTGCTTATCACACTCAGGACAGTCGTGATGGATGAATTTATTCCTATCTCTGAAATGATTATGACCGCAGTAGCACTTTCTTCCTCAGGCAACACCAGCACTTGTTTGCAAACAGTATCTGTTGTCTTATCTCACTCCCTGCCTTTATCTTTATCTCCAACCCTGGGGTTTAGGAGGTTGAACCAGAGGTGTAAAAAAGAGGTATTCGAGGCGGATGCAGCTCGTAGAGTTTTAATTGGATGG